TCTTGATCTCCTGACCTCGTGCCTGCCGCCTCAGCCTCCCAAAGTGCTGGGATTACAGGCTTGAGCCACCACGCCCGGCCTTTTTTAAACATTTTTATGAGTGATGTCTGTAGATTGGTTAATGGTATTGTAAATGTTAATTTCCTGGTTTAAATGATTATACTATGATTATGTAATATATATACATTGGGGAAGCTGAATGAAGAGTATAAAGGAATTCTGTACTCTTTTTGAATGCTTGAAATTATTTCAGAATAAAAAGTTACAGACAAGAAAATAATACAAACAAAACCAAAACAGCTATATTAAAGTTCTTATTTGAATTATATATTTTAAAAATTTACAAGCAATATATTTATGGACAATATAATCTAATTCAACCAGTTTAAGTAGAATGGAATATTTCATAGTATAATGGATAGCTTATAGCATTTATCCAGGAGAACTAGGTAACCAGGCACGTATACTTTTAAGCTAGGGCCATGTAACTAGGAGAATTGACTCCATGACAAGGAGAGACTGTTTTAGTAGAATCCCAGCTATCATCTCCTAACACTGCTTGGTAGTGATAATACAAAGCATTGTACACTGAAATCTCTGCCAGAGCTTTCTGAGAAAGATGAAATGTCTTCATCACTGCCAGCAGTTCTTGTCTCTCTGCATGCAAGTACTGATCCTCACATTGTTCATTTCCATTTTTTTCAGTCTCATGCCTGTCTTTATTTTTGTTGAAAACCTGGGATACATGTTGTTGATCCTGCTGAAAGGAATTTTAATTTATTTCCTAGTTTTGAACCTTCCTTGCTTTCCTGGACTAAACTCTACTTGGTCATGTCTGTTTTATTTATAAGCCATTGGATTTTTTTTTTTTTTTTTTTTTTAAAGACGGAGTCTTGGTCTGTTGCCCAGACTGAAGCTCAATGGTGTGATCTCGGCTCATTGCAATCTCTATCTCCCAGGTTTAAGTGATTCTCCTGCCTCAGCCTCCCAAGTAACTGGGACTACAGGCACATGCCACCATGCCTGGCTAAGTTTTTGTATTTTTTTTTTCTTTTTTTTGAGACGGAGTCTCACTCTGTTGCCCAGGCTGGAGTGCAGTGGCATGATCTCAGCTCACTGCAATCTCCGCTGCTCGGGTTCAAGTGATTCTCCTGGCTTCAGCCTCCTGAGTAGCTGGGATTACAGGCGCATGCCACCACGCCTGGCTAATTTTTGTTTTTTTCAGTAGAGACGGGGTTTCACCACGTTGGCCAGACTGGTCTTGAACTCCTGACCTCAGGTGATTTGCCTGCCTTGGCCTCCCAAAATACTGGGATTACAGGCATGAGCCACTGCGCCTGGCCATTTTTTGTAGTTTTTTAGTAGAGACAGGGTTTCACGGTGTTAGCCAGGATGATCTTGATCTCCTGACCTCGTGCTCCGTGCGCCTTGGCCTCCCAAAGTGCTGGAATTGCAGGCATGAGCCACCACTCCCTGCCGGATTTGTTTTTTAAAGTTCACTTTCTTCTTGCATACCTTTTGGGTATGCAGTTTAGAAATGCGTAATGAAAAACCGAGAAGTATTCAGAAAGAAAAAAGTGTAGGTGAATCATGTGTGTAACTATTTCTGACAGAGATCTTTAAAAAATCTAGTTGATTGTATTATCGTATACCTTAAATGTAGGTATTTTTAAATTTAAAAAATTTATTTAAAAAATCTAGTTAAGTGAGGTAACTCTACAAAGGTAATTCCAAAAGTATTTTAATTCCTTTACGTAATTAGGATTTATTTAAAATGTACAAACCTTTCCTTTGTGTGGGGAGGCTGTGGATGAGATGACAAGGCCAGTATAGCTATAGCGTTCTCATAGTAATATCAGTGAAATACATTTTCTTGATTACTGACTTTGGATGTGTGACTAATTATATGTAAGTTATACTGATTATTGACAGAAAAGAAGAGAGGTAAAATGAATAGGCTTAAAAAACCAAAAATTTGACTAATATAAACTCCAATGTGTGACCATTCTGAGCCTTTTTCAGCTTTTCAGTTTTACCATGAGCTCATTACTTGTTTGGTTAACAAAGGACCTTTAGATTATTCAGTGTAGTTCACAGATTTGATACTTCATAAACGAAATACTGAATGAGAAGCAATTGTAGAGCTGATTTAGATCTTTATTGGTAACAGGTTAGTAGATAGCAATTTACCTAAGACATCCTATATTTGTTTTTGTTGAAAAATATTTTAATGTTTATATTCTCTTACTTGACTTTACTGTCTAAATTTGGAGATTACTTCAGAAACTTCAGTTTTTTGAGCTGTGTTTTTTTTTTTTTTTTAAATGAACATTTTGTTTTGGAGGAAGAATGTGAGTAGTTGTTAATCTAAAGTTTAGGAACCTGCTATAGTGATATTGAGGATACTAATGCTTTTACTTTTTTTTTTTCGCTTGGAAGTTGGTAGGAGGACAGTTTGATTTGGAAATGAATTTCATTATTCAAGAAGGTGAGAGTATCAACTGTATGGTGGACCTACTGGAAAAATGTGACATTACTTGCCAAGCAGAAGTCTGGAGCATGTTTACAGCTATTCTGAAGAAAAGCATACGGAATCTTCAAGTCTGCACTGAAGTAGGCCTTGTTGAAAAAGTGCTTGGGAAAATTGAAAAAGTTGACAATATGATAGCAGGTATGATTTTTTTCTATAGTACAATGTATGCAAAGAAATAAAGTTTAATTTTTAAATACATATTTTTCTTATTCCATTTAGCAATATTTAAGAAATATTTGAGCATGTACCATGCACCTAGAACTTTAGTGTCCAAGCCCTTAAATAAGCACTGTTTATTTTAAATATTCTAGAAATATAACTAGCTGAGTTATTTTATTGTTTTCTTTTGTTTCCAGATCTTTTAGTTGACATGTTGGGAGTGCTGGCTAGCTATAATTTGACAGTTCGCGAGCTAAAGCTTTTCTTCAGTAAACTTCAAGGAGATAAAGGACAATGGGTAAAAAAACTTAAGTACTCTTTGGTATTTTAAAGTATCCCCCTCCCAAACACATTAGTAGCTTGTAAAGTAACTGATATTATTATACATGGGATAATTGTCAAATTGAATAGATTAGTTAAAATAGCATTGAGATCCCTATGGCTACTTTTGCCATACTTGGACCCTAAAAGTATGCACTAAGATAATGGTGTTTCAGGCAAACTGATAATTTAATTCTTCTTCCAATTGTTGTTCTTTAAATGTACATTCAATATTTATTAGAAAGGAAGATAAATGTAGAGAAAGAAAAGTATTAGGTAATAGTACATACCTTTTCTTCTTTTTGATCTAGTTTTATCTGAGTCCCTTAAACTTGAGTAACTCATTCTGTGAACAAAACCTCTGCAGTTAATTGGATCTACCCTCTTGAGAGGCAACTTAGGAGTCATTTGCAATGGGTAGTGTTGGGGGTGAACTTATTTTGAACCCCAGGTGCCTTATCAAACTGTTTCTTCAACCATATAGTTATCTGTCCTATTGAGGAGGAGTAGTAAATATTTTCTCCATTTTTGTTGCATTTCCAGGCTTATTTTAGTGCCCTTTACATTGCCCACAGCAACAGCTCAGTCAGTTGATCCTTAATCTAGCTTTCATTAAATGTATCTAAAATTGTGCCCTGTAATTACTCTTTTTCGTTATGTTAAAATTTAGATTCTTTAGCATATTTCTCTCAAACTCCAGTTTAATGTGTTTAATTTTAGAGTTTTATTACTGATTGTCATTGAATTTAATTATATTTCTGGTTCTAGCTTATCTTGTGTTCATAGAGTTTTTGCATCTGTGAGTGTGTAAGGCAATTGTCATAAAATTTGGAAACATTTTAGTCATTGTTTCTTCAAATACTGTCTTCTTGTCCCCCCTTCCCATCTTTTCTGGGACTCCAATTACAGATATATTAGACCTCTTGATATTGTCTCACAGGTTACTGAGATCTGTTAACTCTTTTTTTAGTGTTTTTGTGCTTTATTTTAAATTGTTTTTATTGCTATAGTTTCAAGTTAACTGATCTTTTCTTCGCAGTGTGTTAATTCCATCCACTGAAATTTCAGATAGTGTATTTTTCTTTCTGTAAATTCTTTTTTTTTTTTTCTGAGATGGAGTGTTGCTCTGTTGCCAGGCTAGAGTGCAGTGGTATGATCTTAGCTCACTGCAACCTCCACCTCCTGGGTTCAAGTGATTCTGCGTCAGCCTCCTGAGTAGCTGGGATTACAGGTGCACGCCACGACACCTGGCTGACTTTTCTATTTTTAGTAGAGACGGGGTTTCACCATGTTGACCAGGATGTTCTTGAACTCCTGACCCTGTGATCCGCCCGTCTCGGCCTCCCAAAGTGCTGGGATTACAGGCCTGAGCCACCGTGCCTGGCCTCTTTCTGTAAATTCTATTTGGTTCTTTTAAATATTTTCCATTTTTTTCCTTATTTAATTCTTTTAAATCCTTGAAAATATTTAGTATATTAATAGTTGCTTTAATGCTCTTATTTTTTCATTCTAGAATGTCATTTTCTAGGTCATTTTACTCATTGATTTTGCTTCTTTATGTAGGTCACATTTTTCTGCTGCTTATGGCTACTGAATTTCGACAACATATCAGACAGCAAATTTTATGTTGCTGAGAGCTGGATTTTGTCATATTCCTTTTATGATTGTTAGACTGGTTTTGCAGGCAGATAAGTTATTTGTGGATCAAAGTTATTTGTGGATCAACTTTATCCTTTAAAACTAGTTTAAAGGTTTTTTTTTTTTTTCCCCAGTAAGGTTTAGAGTGGCTGTTATGCTAGGGCTAGTTTAGCCTTACTATTCAGGCATGTCTCTTACAGAGTCTCTATTGAGTAACTCTTAAGTCGCAGACATAGGACAGGAGGTAGCAAGACTGTGGTCTCTCCAAAGTGTCTAGTAGGGTCTCAACAATTCCTAGCTCTGTATTAGTTTTGGGAATTCTTTAACTTGAAGCTCTTGCTATCTTAGCCCCACCATGTTGAGTTTTATCGTAAGCATGATCAGTCTGGTATTAAGCCAAAGAGTCAGTGTAGATTTCTGGGACTTCTCTGTTCAGTTCTTTCCTCCGTAGTATTCTGCTCTGAAACTTCTATCCACTGTGGACTCCACTTTCTTTCCAACTCACTGAGACTTTCAAGTTTTGTTTGGTTTCCCTGTGCAATGATATGGAAATTGACACCAGGTTTAAAGTCATTTTGTTTGTTTTCTCAGGAATCACAGTCTTGAACTACCTCTTCCTCCATACTGAAAACTGTTTTTGTTTGATACATTTTGCCCACTTTTCTAGTTGTTTATGCTAGGTTGGTGCGTCCAGGTCATATTACTGTGTCGTGTCCAGAAGAGAAAGTATATATTTAATTTTGGTTTTTATTTATATTCACATTATTTATTCTGAATATGTAACATATTTTTATTATATTCATAAACATAGAAAATTATAGGTAAGAAAATAGCAAATAACATGAACTAATATTTATTTACAGAGGTAGAAACCACACAATCAGATTAACACAAAATCATTAATAATTAGAGACATTCACATTAAAACAGTATTGATATGTCACCTTCCATCTGTAGTTTCTCAAGAATTTTAAAGTTGGAAAATGGCAAGTATAGTTTGGGATACAGAGTTATTTTATACTTGGTATGCTTTTCGTTAGAATCAACGCTAGTGGAGCCAACCTCAAGATGAGTCTAGTACTATTTAGTCGTGTTAATTATACTGTATCCAGTGATTTAGTCATTCACTACTTAGTGCATGTTCCCAGAACTTCTCACATAGATCCATAAAATACACGAGGATGTTCACTGAAGTATTATTTTTGATGGCAGTGAATGTTAACATGGATGGTCATCATTAAGAGAGTGGATTGGTAAAATGTACAAAAGGCACAGAATAGATTGTTCTATAACAGAATCAGTGGATGGAGTAATAGGAATAGATGTAAAATATATAGGAAGAAAGCGATGATAAGTATAAGCACACAAATAACTTTTTTTTTTTTTTTTTAAGACAGGGTCTCACTCTCACCCAGGCTAGAGTGCAGTGGTGTGATCATGGCTCACTGCATTCTCAGCTTCCTGGGCTCAAGAGATCCTGCCACCTCAGCCTCCGAAGTAGCTGGGACCATGGATGTGCACCACCATGCTGGGCTAATTTTTGCATTTCTTTTAGAGACTGGGTTTCCCCATGTTGTCCAGACTGGTCTCAAACTCCTGAGCTCAAGCAGTCCTCCCAAAGCGCTAGGATTACAGGTGTGAGCCACCACACTCAGCCCCAGAAAACATTTTTGAAGGAATAATCTACATATAAAAGATTAAACATGTTAATATAGCGGCCTATGGGGAACGGGAGGAGAATGAGAATAGGTTTAGATGATAAAGGGAAAAAATAATGAACTATTTATAAAATGAGAGCAAGGCCTTGCGCAGATATTCATTATATTTATTTAGTTATTTAATATTAGGCATATTATTTCTATATTTTGCTGTCATAGCAGTGCAGTGAAAAATTCCCTGTATCTAAATCTCTGCCTTTGTGATGATTACTTTAGCATAGATTTTTGCATGTGGAAATAGTGCATTGGTGGACATGAACGTTTTTACAGACTCTTGAAATATGACTACTACATCTTTTTCCTTTCCTCTTTCTTTTTCTTTCTCAGACAGAGTCTTGCTCTGTTACCCAGGTTGGAGTGCAGTGGTGCTATCTCGGCTCCCTGAAACCTCTGCGTCCTAAGTCAAGCACTCCTTCCACCTCAGCCTTCCAAATAGCTGGGACCACAGGCACTTGCCACCATTCTTGGCTAATTTTTGTATTGTTTTGTAGAGATGGAGTTTTGCCATGTTGCCCAGGCTGGTCTTAAACCCCTAGGCTCAAGCGATCCCTCCACCTTGGCCTCCGAAAGTGTTGAGATTTGTGAGCCACTGTGCCTGGCCTAAGTTTTTTTCTGAAAGGCTTTCCCAGTACAGTATATACTCCCCCAGCAATGTCTGTCAAGTAAAGTGCTTATCTTAATGTGTTCTTTTGTTGACTGATTTATAGGAAAGGAAATTTGGAGGAATGATGTTTCTAGATGGACATGCTACAATACTGTATTTTTATTTTCAACTGCAAAGTTATTTTTGGTTATTTTACTTTGGAATTTATTTTAAAAAAATCACTGATTATAGTTACTTGTTGTTATGCTTTTATAATTGAGCAGTATGATTAATTGAAAATTTCTTGTTCACTTAAGAATGAAGCTTTCCACTTAATATTTAGGTGAAAGGTTGCCAAACTCTTTTACACAGTTAGTAATTATAATTTATATCATCTATGAAAATAAGATGAAGGCAAACCAGTGATTTCATTTGTAGTTTGACCCTGTTTTGAACTTTTAAACTTTTAACAAGGAGGAATGCCCTGCACTTTTCTTATTGGCTTATAAACGATTAAAATGACATGGTATGTCTGATTATCTTTTGTTTATCCTTGTAACTGCAAATGACATTTTTCATTTTTATTGCTGATTGTTTCAGTATTAGAGACTTGTGGACCAAAGAAACATTAATCAAATAAACTCAGCGTTGCAGCTTTTGTATGTATATGCTATGTGTATACATATATTTATATGCTATGCAGTAAAGGTATATTGTAGAACGAAATATGATAGGGAAGTTTAATCCACTCTCAATTTCAAGGAAGGCTACCCTGAGGAAGTGACTGTTAACATGAGCTCTAAAGGCTGGGTAAGGTTGACTTGGTTAAGAGGGGAGTAGAGGAGCCCTTTTGAGAACATTTTAAGCTTAAGGAATAGCTTTTGCTGAGGCCTTGTTGTGGGAAGAAGACTGAGAAAAAAGGATGGAGTGCAGGGAGAAGGGGAGAGTAAGAAGCAAAATGAGGCTAAAGAGGTAGATAAAGTATCTTATAGTCCATGTTAAAGGTTTTGGTCCCTATTTTAATGGTGAAAGTACAGT